ACTGATGTTTAGCAGGAAAGTAGACTCCATTTTATCTATTCTGATTAATGACGTGTTTGGGATTTATTCAACTAACCTATTTTGTATGTTATATATTCTCTATGATCCTTTACTTTCCTCCTTTCTTGCTTTCTTTGTATTAAGTTTATTTTCCTTTTTTCATTTTGCAATCACTTTGATAATAGGAAACTTTGATTTTCACTCTAAATAAGTGAAATGTTATCCCCCCAACACAAAAAAAGAATTCTATTTTTCTTGTTACTAAAAATTGTACTCAATTATTTGTCAGTAAAATAGTTGTATAAATTTCTTTTCTCTCTCATTGCATAAGTACCTACATGGATGTCCTTGATATTGCCTCTTGGCCCTAAAATATTGACTCTCTGGCCGTTTATAGGAAAAGTTTAATATGTATGCAATTTTTCTTCCTACTAGTGATTGCTGTAGAAATTTAACTTGTTATATCATTTCAATTTAACTTAATTTCAGCATAATTTAATGAAATCTAAACTTAACAAAATATTTTTTTCTTTCAGAACAATTCCAGGAACTGTTAAAATGATTTAAACTGATGCTTAAGTTTTATCTTGATTTTTTTTGTCTTCCTACAAGTTAAACATTATCATTGTAATTGTTTCATTTATTTATTTATTACTTTTTGTTTTAGGAACAGAGTCTGGCTCTGTCACCCAGGCTGGAGTGCAGTGGCATGATCATAGCTCACTGCAGCCTCAAATTCCTGGGCTCAAATGATCCTCTTGCCTCAGCCTGCCAAGTAGCTAGGGCTATAGCAGTGTGCCACCATGCACAGCTAAGTTTTTAATTTTTTGTAGAGATGGAGTCTCACTATGTTGCCCAGGCTGGTCTCGAACTCCTGGGCTCAAGCAAACCTCCTCCAGGGCCTCTCAAAGTGCTGGAATTACAAGCGTGAGCCACCGTGCCTGACCTCATTGTAATTGTCTTACATGGTCAATGTTGTTTTAGCTTTATCTCCATGCTTACCGTTTGTTTCCTTGGGCATTTCTTCTTTATGTTTCAGGAGTCTTTGCTCTAGAAGTTCTTTTACGGGGGGTTTGTTGCTATGAACTGTTTTACTCACAATACTTCTGACAGTAAATTTGTGGGTGTTTTTTTTTGCCACACCAACTGAATCTGCAACTTTCCAGACACCAATTGGGTGTTCTACAATGAAATTCCATTCTGATACTAACTACCCAAAGTTAGCACAGACCTTGTAGATTAACTCACTCCCACAAGACTGCTTCCTCTTCAGATGCCAATTGCAAGTAACAATTTTTGGGTACCCAGGGTACGCACACTTCTGTCTGACTTGGCTACTCATTTGGAGGTTTCCACAATCACCTCCTTGGGTTTGATAACTAGCTAGAAAGCTTATGTCTCATAAGACTCAGGAAAACACTGTACTTACTATTCTGGTTGATTATAAAAAGATATTATAAAGGATACAAATGAACAGCCAGATAAAGTGGTACATACAGCAAGATCCAGAAGAGTCACAAGCACAAGAGCTTCTGTCCCCATGGAAGTGGAGTGTGTCATTCTCCCAGAGCTTGGATGCATTCACCATCTTAGTTCAGAAGCTCTCCAAACCCTGTCGTTTAGAGGTTTTTATGGAAGTTTCATCATGCAGGCATGAGAGATTATTAACTCAATCTCTGGCTCCTTCTCCATCCTGAGGGGTTTGGGGATGAGGCTGAAAGTCCCAAACTTCTAATCAAGGTTTGGTCTTTCTGGACAGCCCACATCCTATCCTGAAGAACATGACAAGAGTTGCCTCATTAGAGCAAAAGATGCTCCTATCACTTATGAAATTCCAAGGGACTTAGGGGCTCTGTGCCAGGAGCCAGGAAAGATGACCAAATATCTGTTTCTTATTATACCCCAATATCACAGTTGCTATTAAACTCAGTTTTTCCTTATCTGAAAAATGACTTTATTTTGCCCTTACTCATTAAACATAGTTTTCATTTATAAAATTCTTGGTTTGCTTTTTTATTTCCTCTTATCACTCTTGTATTAGTCTGTTCTCACATTTTTATAAAGAACTACCTAAGACTGGGTAATTTTTTAAGAAAAGAGATATAATTGGCTCACGGTTCTGCAGGCTCCACAGGAAACATGCCTGGAGAGGCCTCAGGAAACTTACAATCCTGACTGAAGGGGAAGGGAAAGCAGGCACATCCTGCATGAGTGGAGCAGGAGGAAGAGAATGAAGGGGGAGGTGCTACACACTTTTAAACAACCAGATCTCCTGAGAGCTCACTCACTATCACAAGAACAGCAAGGGGGAAATCTGCCCCCATGATCCAATCACCTCCCACCAGGCTCCTCCTCCAACACTGGGGATTATAATTCGACATGAGATTTGAGCAGGAACACAAATCCAAACCATATCAACTCTGAAGATATTTTTCCACATTTTCCTTGCTGACACATTGTGGGTGTTAACAAGTTGACTGTCCATCTAATTTGTCATTCTTTCATAGACAGGTTTTGTTTGTTTGTTTGTTTGTTTGTTTGTTTTTTTGAGACAGAGTCTTGCTCTGTTGCCCAGGTTGGAGTGCAGTGGCGCCATCTCGTCTCACTGCAAACTCTGCCTCCCGGGTTCAAGTGATTCTCCTGCCTCAGCCTCCTGAGTAGCTGGGATTACAGGCGCCCACCACCACCCCCAGCTAATTTTTGTATTGTTAGTAGAGATGGGGTTTCACCATGTTGGCCAGGCTGGTCTCAAACTCCTGATCTTGTGAGCTGCCTGCCTTGGCCTCCCAAAGTGAACAGTTTTATCTTTTCTCTCTAGCTGCTTTGAAAACATTCAGTGGTGTGCTGGTAAATGCTTAAGCAGTAGCACTCTAGGAAAACAACAGTATACATATATGTACATAAGTTATAAATGTTTCTGATATAGAGTATATATATAATACAAAATTTACATGTAATAATAAAGCATATAATATTATTTATGTAAATTCCATATAGCGACCCATAAATTCCAAATAGCATTTTGATTTCTGCAAATTGATTTTTGCTAAACTGTTGTATCCTTAGCCAAGCTATGGTTACAATTGATAAACACATTTAGTTCTAATATGAATGCTGATATTTTTATTTATGTTAACAAGTAAGACAAAAGTGAAACAAAGAAAGGATATGTCACTCATTTGTCAATAACATTAGCAACATTTTTGCTGAGTCAAGTAATCGTTTTTTAATAATGGAAGACTATTTCCTCACCTTTCTGTGCTAGTAACAATATAACAGCTAGTCTGCATTATTAACATGATCTCCATCACTTCCTTAAATCTAAATAATAAACAATCAATCAGTCCTGACTTGTAGCATTTGCTGGTGTTTGTAGTGTAAGTACCCCTACAATAGCTGATTTCAAGCTACTATATGACAACACTGAAGTTGGCAGTGCTATGCAGTAGCACACCATCATATAATGTTGTCATGATACCATTACAATTGACATAAATAAACTCCAGAGCATAGACAATAGTGAAATGTCACAAAATACTTACATTGTGGTAAGTTTTGAGTCTTTATTGCATTTGTTTTTAATATTTTCTTAATTGCAAATTTATATAATTTTTAGATGATGATCATGGTTAACAGTTGGCTCACAAAATTTCTAAAAATTTAACAATAAACTCTTTTAAGTTAATATGAGCTAAGTCCAATACACCAATGTTATTTCCTGCTTTTGATTTCTTGGTCTTCCTTAATGTTAGTACGAACGTCTTTCTTCAACTCTCTAAATGTCTCAGGCATTATCTGTTCAAATACTGCCTTTTCAAAAATTCAGTTCCATTTTCAAGAAGTCTTTCAAACTCACCTTGCCATTTTTGATAATCCTCTCTTTCTTACTTATGCTTTTAATACTTCTTTTTATTTATTTGAGCATGTTTTAAAACTTACCTTATATTCTCTATTTGGTAATTACAATATCTGAGGTTTTTGTAGATATGATTTCACAGTTTGTTTCTTACTCAAAGTGGTTTACTTCTGCGTGTTTTGTGATTTTCATTTGTGAGCTTATATCAAATCATAATGTTAACGGTGGAGGAGTCCAGGTTCTTGGCATCTTGAACAAAGAGCTGAACAAAATGCACAAACAAAGGAAGGAAGGAATGAAGGGATTTGTTGAAAATGAAAGTACACACCACAGTGTGGGAATGGTTCCAGGCATAGGAGCTCAAAGACCCCGTTACAGAATTATTGAGAATTTAAATACCCACTAGAGGATTCCATTGGTTACATAGAGTGGTTACACTCTATGTAAATGGAGAGAACGAAGTAAAGTTACAAAGTCATTTACTTGACCTACACCCTAGCAGAGGACGTTTCCTGTCATTGCTGAAGTGTGAATCAGCCTTTTGTTCCCTGCCTCTAGACCCTATTTTCCTGCTTCAATAACTGTTTTAAAATAAAATGTTAAGGTAATCTGTATTTTGGCCACAAGTCTATGTGAGGACAGGCTTGTGGTTAGGGGTGCTTACGGGAGACTTACCCTCCATCATTTTACCTATTTTATCCATCATTTTTGAATTATTTTGTCCCAAGTATGTTTCTCTGAACATCTAGTCTTCCACATTGCTAATAAACTATCTTTAGGACCTAAATTAAAGATCAGACTCATGTGAAGGATAGGAGACTGGGAGACCAGTTAAGAGGCTGCTACAATGGTCCAGGCTAAAGATAATGAAGACCTGAACCTAGGAAATTGCAAAATAAACCACGAGAGAAGAAGCTGAAGTGAGGAGACATCTCTAAGGGAGAACTGGCGGGATTTAGTAGACAGAAGTTGAGTGAGAAAGAGAATCAAGGATGACGTCAAGGTTTCTAGTTCAGTATTTTGATTTGTCAGAGATACACTAACAAAAATCATGTTAAATATTCTCCAAAATGAACCTGAATGGGACCTATGTTTAAGCATTTCAAAATCCTGTTAAATTTAAATTTCTTAAATGTGTTTACAGGCATGGAAAGAAGAGCAAGATCGATTAGCAGAAGAGGAGCGCTTAAGGGAAGAAAAGAAAGCAGAGAAGAAGAGCAAAGAAGCTGGTAAAAAGAAAGGCAAGGATAACGTAGAGAAAGAAGATAGTAGGTCTTTGAAGAAAAAACCATCTCACAAGGAGAAATCTAAAGAAGAACCAATCAAGGTCCAAGAAGTAATAGAAGAGTCCCCCCACCAACCAGAACCTGAGATAACTTACTCAGTACGCTCCAATTCTGTAAAACTTAGTCTCTTTGGGCTATTCCTATTTGTTTTGGGAAAATACAGCTATTGTAAGATTCTTTTGTTTTTACTGCCACCACAGTAGGCCTAGGGTTTCTTCTAGTATCAGTGAGCTCAAACCTGTATTCCACCCCTGATGTCTAGAACCTTGTTTCTAGTCAATCATCAAGATGAAAACAGCCTCAGGTCACTTTTCATTTGAGTGCCACGAACCTAGCTAAGGTCAGTAAAGGTAGAAATTTGACACAGAAGTACTCTTATAGATATATGTAAATAAGTGAACACAAAAGTTGGCTTTTTCTGTCTCAGATGATGACACTTGCTGACTACATTTTGTTGTCTCTTTGTGGGCAATCATGTTTCTGGCTTGTATGCTTTTGTAAAAGCTTCCCTTTGCCAATTCTCTCTCAGCTAGCTGTTATGAGGAAAACCTAATGGGAAAAAAAAAAAATGGAAAGAAATCTAACAGCCCCTGTGCTTTGTAGCTACTCCTCTAAACCAGTTGTTCTCAAGTTTTAGCATGCATTAAATCCCCTGGACCTCTGTTAGCAACACTCAGTAAAAAATATCTTCTACATATGACCTCCTTAAGTGGAGTGTCCACTCTCCCCAGCATCAGTTCACTTTAAACAGAAAATTAACAACCAGTGAATGAGAACTTGATTTCTTCTTGAACTGCCTTGACAATAGCATGATAATTCAATTTTCACTAGGTTATGAGAATGTACCGATGAACAGAGTTTAACATAATATCTTTAATTCTGCCTGTTATAACACCATAGATGTTTCTAAAAATAATATGAACACTGGCCTCTGAGTCTGCAAAGTGACAGACATACTTAGCGAAATTAAGCTTCTGGCAACTTTAGTTGGCTAACACTGATAAGTTGATTTTTGTCTGTTGAAGCTTCACATTCAAAGCATGATATTTTCTCTTCTAGTTTCACGGATACAATATGGGAAATATACCTACTCAAATCTCGGGGTCAAATTACTACCTGTATCCTTCTGATGGTGGGCAGATTGAAGTGGAAAAGACAATGTTTGAAAAAGGTACATTTTGAAAGCAACTGGTTAATGACTGGAAAGATAATAATGCATTTCAGATAACCAGGGGCCCTCTACTCCTGAGTTTGATAGGCGAGAGTGTTATTCTGTCCCCTACAATACATTTAGGTGCCACAGTCAGCATTTTCAGACTCCACACTTTCTTCTATTGTAATTGACTCTACAAGGCATAGGTCAGTCAAGAGTTTAACTGATACATGCTAATATGACCATTCTAGTTGTTAAAATATTAAAATACTTCCATACAATTGGTAAAAAGTAATAGTAACTGCAATAAGGAATTAAGTAATAATTTTCATTACAGCACACCTTGTTATCCCAGAAACCAAGCACATTCTGTGAGTTTATTGCATTTTTCTGGTGTGGCTTTTGAGCACAGAGCTTGGAACCTGCTCCCAACATCCACCTATTGTAGCTCTTACTAAGATTTACATAAGCGTACAATGCATGTAAGTTTCAGGTGATAGTGAATTCAGTATTTTCTCCTAGTTCTGTCAATTTTGAGGGTTGATAGCTCAATCCAAATTGAGAGGAGATAGCCAATTTTTTTTTAAACAAAAAAAAAATGGGTCTGAACACTAAAAAAGAGAAAGCGTTGTTGGAAAAAATTTTATTAACTACCACAATAATAATAATAGCCACCAAAACTAACACATAATTTTTAGAAGTCGCAAAACCATTTCACATTAATTATATCATTTGATGAATCATAATATTGATTATAGGCATACATTGCCTCAGCCAGTTCATTTTCTCTTCTGAAATTGGGTTTGAAATGTGACTAAAAGGCCTGCAAATACCTCCTTGGTCTCCCTGCCATTTATGCCTGGAATTCCACCATTACTTTATTTCCTTAGGCTTTGTCTTATAGAGGTGTTGACATCTCTAGGCATTTCCCCTCCCTGGTTTATATTCTATGCTGCCTTTTTATTTTTGTTTCAGGGATACATATTCAGGTTGATTCTATAGGTAAATTACACATTGCAGAGGTTTGGTCTGCATATTATTTCATCACCTAGGTAATAAACAGAGTACTTGACAGGTAGTTTTTGGTCCTCACCCTCCCCTCACCCTCAAATAGCCCTGGTGTCTATTGTTCCCTTCTTTGTGTTCATGTGTTCTCAATGTTTAGCTGGCATTCCTAAGTGAGAACATGTAGTGTTTAGTTTTCTGTTCCTGTGTTGGTTTCTGTGGAGCATTGTGTAACCATCTTGTTGAGGAGCTTAATGTGGCATCCTAATCGCCCATCTTCTATTCTATGGTTCCTCCTCAGGCCCAACTTTTATCAAAGTGAGAGTGATAAAGGACAAGCACAATTTTATAATTCATTTAAATGACCCTAAGGAAATTGTGAAAAAGGAAGAGAAAGGGGACTATTATTTAGAAGAGGAAGAAGAAGAAGATGAGGAACAAAATCTTGAAACAGGTAAGCAGCTGCATCTTTGTGCCAGTGAAGGTTAATGCTTAAGCAATGCGCTGAACCCATCTACCTGACACAAATACATATGGACCTCTTGCCCTTAGCACATGGAATTTTTCCACGTGGTAACTGAGGTATTTTGACATTCTGTATTATAATATGTTATTATACACATAGTACATCGTAGTGGGATGCTTATTTGGCTTTTGTTCCTCTGGGCACCGAGCTTTTGATTCCAGTTGTTTGATACAGAGTCTACCCAGACTGGTCATCTTTATGGAGCAATCATTGAGTTTGCCATGTCTATTCTGCCCTTAATTTTGGTTTATGCACTTGTACCAACTGAATTCTCAAAGATGCAGGTCCTTTCGCAGTGATTCCATAGTTTCAGCTTCTTTCCAATAGGCACTGCAATGATGAGGTTTCTTCCCATGCTCTATCACTTAATCCTCTGTAGCACCAAATATATTAGGTTGTAAAGACAAGGAAAAACCATACATTTGACCATGAGAGTCATTACCTACTTGGAAATGAGAGCTGCAAATGGATGTCCATTGATAAAACACCATGAAACTTCATAACACCATTGTACCAGGAAACATCATTAAGATAAATTAATTGCTTCTTTCTTGTCCAGTATGGTGTTGATTATACCTGCAAAAGAAAATGAGTTACTAAATGTATTCAACTCAAATTAGTGATATAAGGGCAGGACGCAGTGGATCATGCCTGTAATGAGGCTGAGGCGGGCTTATCCCTTGAGCTCAGGAGTTCGAGACCAGCCTGACCAACATGACAAAACCCTGTCTCTACAAAAAATACAAAAATGAGTCAGGCGTGGTGGTGAGCCACTCAGGAGGCTGAGGCATGAAAATCACTTGAACCCTGGAGGCAGAGATTGCAGAGCTAAGATCGCACCACTGCACTCCAGCCTGGATAATGGAGAGAGATGCTGAAAAAAAAAAAAAGGAAGAAGGAAGGAAGGAAGGAAGGAAGGAAGGAAGGAAGGAAGGAAGGAAGGAAATTAGTGATATGACCAATAACTAAATTTCACATATGAGTTTAGTGACATTTTCTAAACCCAAGGTAAGAACACAATGTTTTTTTTCCTCTGAGCCCTTTGCTAGAGAAAGAACACGATGTTTGATAGGTGTGAATGTTCCCAAAAACTTAGCACAGAAAATTTTAAATGACTTCTTTGTTTTACCTGATACAAAGATATATGGATTATTATTAAAAATTGAGAAATATGTAAATACTTAAAGAAGATAACCATTGCCTATAATTCTGCCACCACAGTGATGACCTCTGCTAATAATGTATTTCTTTCTTACTTTATCCTCATGAGCATTTTCATATTCATTAAATATTATTTGAAAGCAAGATTTTTTTGATGATTTAATTTTTTATCGGTATATAATTATAGTTTACTTATTTCCATGTTTTGCATACTTAGGTGATTTCCACCAAAATAAATCAATATATTTAGTTATATTTATAAAACTTTATGTAAACATACATAGTTTCATGTATGTTTACATAGAACTATATGAATAGGACATCTTGGCTGGATACATGAATATATATACATACATGAATAAGTGTACAATATAAACATACATGAAGATATGTATGTTCATTTACATGAAGATATGTATATAAATTTACCAATATAAACATATTGGTAAACAATTTACGAATCCTCCCGCCTCAGCCTTCCAAAATGCCAGAATCACAGGTGTGAACCACCATGCCTAGCCTGCTTTGTTTTGAAATAATTTTTTCACTTGAGTTGCTAAGAAACTCATTTGAATCTCAGAAGTGACCGTTCTTTCCTTCAAGTCATCTACTGATTATGAATGGTTTGTTGGGAAAGTATATTTTTAAATTCTAGAAAGTGCTTTTTAAAATATCCTTATGTACTTTAAAAAATTCAAGCATTTAGCTAACTCTTCTATAAATTGGTAAACAATTTACCAATATGTTTATATTGTATAGTTATTCATGTATGTATATATATTCATGTATGTATATATTATTTATATACAAACATTTATATATTCGTATGTATAATAATTTAATTATTTTATTTTTTACATTATTGGCTAATGTCCCATTTTTAGCCCTAATATTAAACCTTCCATTTTCATTTCAGCTTTAATTATCCCTGGAGTCTGCACACTTTGACCTAAATTTGCCCCACAATCTGTTTTTATTTGGTCCATGAACTAAGAATTGTTTTTGCATTTGTAAAGAATAGTTCATAAAACAAAAGCAAAGAAGAAAATGTCGTAAACACCATATACCTGGCCTATAAAACCTAAAACATTTACTATCAGGCCCTTTTCAGAAAAGGTTTGCTAATCCCTGATCTAGATGGATCTACAACAGATCAACAGACAGGGAGACAGATGAGGATGCAGAGAGGAATGGTCATTGCCCACCACTGCTTGCTTTCTTCTTTTCCATTTCTGTCCTGGTTTATTTATTTTTGTTTAGTTTTATCGAGTTTTCTCTTCACATGAGGCACACGATAGTATGCCCTCTCAATGTTTATGCGTCTCTGGATATCTGGAAGGACGTCTTGGCTGGATACAGGATCCTTGGGTTGTCATCCCTTTCTTTTTATGATTCATAGTTGCTATTGCATCATCTTGTAATTTTCACATTAGAAGTTGATGAGCCCTTGTAATCTAAGACTCAAGCTCCAGCTTTAGGTCAGGAAATTGTAATTTGGTTGTTAATTTAATTTTTGTTCTTCTTCATTTGTTCCTTTTTTCCTTCTGTAAAAGCCACACTTTGCATATGTTTATCCTCCAAATCTTTTACGTCTTTTGTATGGCCCATGAACTAAGAATTGTTTTTGCATTTGTAAAGAATAGTTCAAGAAACAAAAGCAAAGAAGAAAATGTCATAAACACCATATACCTGGCCTATAAAATCTAAAACAATCACTATCGGGCCCTTTTCAGAAAAAGGCCATTTTCATGTTGTTTTTCATATAAACATACTATCTCTTTAAATGTTTGCTCTGAGTTTCGTTTTGTTTGTTTTATAGACAGGGTCTCACTTTGTTGCTGAGGCTAGTGTGCAGTGGCCCAATCATAGCTCACTGCAGCCTCAAACTCCTGGACTCTAGGCATCCTCCCACCTCTGCCTCCCAAGTAGCTGGGACTAAAGGCACATCATGACTGGCTAACTTTTGTATTTTTTGTAGAGATGGGTTTCACCATGTTACTCAGGCCTGTCTCAAACTCCTGGGTTCAAGCAATCCTCCCGCCTCAGCCTTCCAAAATGCCAGAATCACAGGTGTGAGCCACCGTGCCTAGCCTGCTTTGTTTTGAAATAATTTTTTCACTTGAGTTTCGAAGAAACTCATTTGAATCTCAAAAGTAACTCTCCCTTCAAGTCATCTACTGATTATGAATGGTTTGGTTAGGAAAGTATATTTTTAAATTCTAGAAAGTGCTTTTCAAAATATCCTTATGTACTTTAAAAAATTCAAGCATTTAGCTAACTTTTCTATAATTTATATTTCGCTGAGCATGTGTTCTGTTTGTTTAGTGGTTTCTTTCTTCTGACTAATACTCTTGTCTCTGTCCACTCCACTCCATTAAATGGCTTATTGCCCGTTCTTCTTCTCAAGGTTCTACCAATACACTCTCTTATTAATAGTGCATGAAGATACCAATTTTCGTGAACTGAACCCTACTGGATATTAAGCATTATCTTTTTACTTTACCAGACTTTATTTTTTTATAGCAGTTTTAGGTTCATGACAAAATTGAACAGAAGTTACAGAGATTTCTCAACATCCTCTTCCCGTACACATGCACAGCCTCCGCCACTATCAACATTCCTCACCCAGAGTGGTACATTTGTTACAGTCGATGAACCTACCTTAACATAACATTATCACCCAGAGTCTATAGTTTACATTACCCTTGGTGTTGTGCATTCTAAGGGTTTGAACAAATGTATAATGGCCATGTGTCTACCATTATAGTATCATACAGAGAAGTTTCACTGCCCTAAAAATCTGTGCTCTGTCTATTCATCTCTCCCTCCTTCCTAACCCCTGATAATCACTGATCTTTTTACTGTGTCCATAGTTCTGCTTTCTCCATAATATCATGTAGTTGGAATTATACACTATGTAGCCTTTTCAGATTGAATTTTTTCATTTAGTAATATGCATTTAAGTTTCCTGCATGTCTTTTCATGGCTTGATAGTTTATTTCTTTTGAAAATTAATAATATTACATTGTCTAGATGTACCACAATTTTATTTTCCCACTCACCTACTGAAGGACATCTTGGTTGCCTCCAGCTTTTGGCAATTGTGAATAAAGGTGCTACAAACATTCGTGTACAGGTTTGTGTGTGGACATAAGTTTTCAACTCCCTTGGGTAAACACCAAGTAGTGTGACTTTTGGATTATAGGGTAAGAGTATGTTCATGTTGGAAGAATCCACCAAACTGTCTTCCAAATTGGCTGTACCATTATGCATTCCCACCAGCAATGAAAGAAAGTTCTTGTTGCTCTATATCCTCACCATTATTTGTTGTTTTGGATTTCCTCCATTCTATAAGGTGTCTAGTGGTATCTTGTTGTTTTAATCTGCATTTTCCAGATAACAAATAATATTGAGCATCTTTTCATATGCTTATTTGCCATTTGTATATCTTCTTTGGTGAAGTGTCAAAGTTTCTTTCCCGTTTTTTAATCAGGTTTTTATTTTCTGTTATTGAGCTTTAAGAATTCTTCATACATTTTGAGTAGTAATCCTTTAACAGATATGTCTTTTGCAGATATTTTCTCCAACTCTGTGGCTTCTCTTTTCATTCTCTTAAAGCATTACCTTTTGTTCCATGGTTCATTTGAATTTCCCAGTCTAAAAATTATCTTGGCATGAGTTACATTATTTTAAATCAATATTGCCCCATCTTTATTATCTGATAATGGAGGAAATGGTGAACTGAAAATAAAACAACAGGTCAGAAAATTCACAAATTCTTTATACACCTTCAGATGTGTGTTTCCTATTCATGATAGAAAAGAAATGGAATCAACCTAGATGCTCATTAGTGGTGGACTGGATAAAGAAAATGTGGTACATACATACTATGGAGTATTATGTAGCCACGAAAAACTAAAACATATCCTTTGCAGCACATGGATACAGTGGAGACCATTATCCTAAGCAATTTAATGCAAGAACAGAAAACCAAATGCTGCATTTTCTCACTAATAAGTGGAATCTAAACACTGAGTACACATGTGCATAAAGATGGGAATGATAGACAGTGGGGCCTATTTAAGAGGGGAGGTTGGGAGGAGGGTAAGGATTGAAAAACTACCTATCAGGCACTATGCTCACTAACTGGGTGATGAAATTGTTTGTACACCAAACCCCAGTGACATGCAATTTACCCATGTAACAAACCTGCACATGTAACCCCTAAACCTAAAAATTGAAAAAAGAAAAAAATATGTGCCGTAACAGTTTTGTTTTAAAATTATGTTTGACTGAAACAATTTTTAAGTGTTTTAAAATATAAAAAAGTTTAAATGTGGGAATTTAAGAAAATGTTTTAAAATGTGGGGAAACTGAAACTGAACTGATGGTTTTAATTTTAAAAGCCATGTGGACGATCTGCCAGATGAATAATCTGCTTATGGCTATGCCATCAACCCATTGATTTCCTCACTTCGTTGTAACCTAAAGTCCTTAAAACAAGAGTTTCGTGTTCTTATCTTTGTAATTCCACCCTACGTCTAACAACCCTGAGTGCATGGTCGAGCTAAACCAATTGTTTTTAAGTTGATTGTGGTAGACCACAATCTTCGTTATATTTATTTTGAATTAAATGAAAACGTTTTTGATTTGATTTTGTCTTTTAGAAGTATCAGATGCAAAGAATAAAGCTTTCAGCAAGTTTGGATCTTTTTCTGCCACCTTAGAAAATGGAATCTGCCTCTCAATAAGTTACTATGGATCAAATGGAATGGCACCAGGTGAAATGAACACAACAGAAAGGATAAGTGTGCCCCACTGCCAAGGGCCCTTGCAACTGCCCATTCTCAGTCTGCTCACTTGTCAATAACATGTTATGATTTAATGTTCCTCATAGTTTTTCCTGCATAATAGGAATAGAAGAGGGGTGTGTGTGTGTGTGTGTGTGTGTGTGTCTATATATGTGTGCATACATATGTGTGTATATAAGTATATATATATATAAAATCTTTCATACATAGATGCATACAAAATAAAAATGCTTTGAAATGCTTTGACATTTTATATAATCCTTTATATAATCACTTATACATATAAGATTACATGTGTGTGATATATATACATGTATGTATACATGTATATGCACACACATATATACCAGTTATCCTTGTCAACTACTCCATAAAAATGAGCCTTTTAGTTGGGTGTAAAAGAAAGCATAATTTGCCAAGGAATCCTCTTGGTTTTCTTTGTGAATCCTGTAATTATAAAACTGTTCAGTGTGCTTCAGGACATTAGCCTTAAAGGAGCTACTAAGTGGACAGAAAGCTTTCTGTACCCTTCTTTCTTTCTTTCTTTCTTTCTTTCTTTCTTTCTTTCTTTCTTTCTTTCTTTCTTTCAGACAGGATCTTGTTCTGTCACTTGGCTGGAGTGCAGTGGCGCAATCATGCCTCACAGCAGCCTCAAACTCCTGAGCTCAAGCACTCCTCCCACCTCAGACTCCTGAGTAATTGGGACTATAGCGCACACCACCACACCTGGCTAATTATTTTTGGTAGAGATGAAGTCTTACTATGTTTCCCAAGCTGGTCTTAGACTCCTGTGCTCAAGTGATGCTCCCACCTTGGCCTCCCAAAGTGCTGGGATTACAAACGTGAACCACTGCACCCAGACTTCTACCCCATTTTCAGTAAACAAATTATCCAACTGGAACTATTTCTTTACAAACCACAAAATAGGATGTCACTTTACCAAGAACCAATTAGGAAATTTGTGGCTTCCCATGCATTTTAGAGGGATCTAACCACAACATATTTTTTTTAAAGTATTATAAAATCAAAGGTAAACTCAATGCTGCCTGAACTTAAAGCTATATGTTAGTGTCAATCATGGTGATCCAATTACCTGTCTTTCTATATAGTTTCTTTTTTGCAGTGATAAATTTTTCATGGATAATTATAATTTTATTTCTTACCTTGTGCCAGATATCCTAGTACTCTACTGAGTTTGAGAGTCCATTAGATTTCTTAGTATTTTGGCTTTATTGGAGATTTTGTGTTTTAATTTTGTCTTTGTCTTTGATTTGTTGTTAAATCAGCAACTGGAGAAGTCATTTGATGCCTAACAAATTTTGTATTAAAATCCATTATCACTACACAGTCACTAAAAATTCTTACCTCTTCTTAATATAGGTTATCATTATTTTAGATTAAGATATTTATACCTACTATCAATTCTGTTGCTCCTATTCCTGAGTGATTTTCTTAATCCTGATTTAGTCCTTAAATTAATATGTAATAAATTTTAAACAGAAGTTCCTAATTTCAAGATATAAATATGGCATTTGAAAATGTTTATTGTGTAGATAAGTAATATTTTACATCCTGTATGTTTTTTAAAAAAGTTGAAGGTATGTCAGGAGATCAAGACCATCCTAGCTAACACGGTGAAACCCCATCTCTACTAAAAAATACAAAAAAACTAGCCAGGCAAGGTGGCGGGCACCTGTAGTCCCAGCTACTCGGGAGGCTGAGGCAGGAGAATGGCATAAACCCAGGAGGCGGAGCTTGCAGTGAGCCGAGATCGCGCCACTGCACTCCAGCCTGGGCAACAGAGTGAGACTCCATCTCAAAAAAAAAAAAAAAAAAGTTGAAGGTATAAGTCTTTGGAAAAAAACACATACATACATATATATGTATATATATACACACACATTTTCTAAGGGTTCATATATAACTGATATTTAAGAACTTTATCTGCTAATGGCTAAACAGATTTCCATTCCAATTATCCCCCTTTAATTGGGTATATACAGCTAAACATAATTTAGTAACCTTTTGGACAAATAAAAAGTAGACAATACAGCTATGAAATAGGCAAAAATATAAAAAAAAACAATCAAATCTTTGGACACTACTTCCTCTTGCTAAGAGGAATAGATCATTCTTGCTTCTTACTGCCTTTCAGGGCTCCTACTGAATACACCTAAAATTAAGAATCTTAATCAGGCCCCAACTTAAGTTTTACATGATTGTTTACCCAAACCCTGAATGACAACCGACCTGATCCATTTTCCCATAGAAAAGTATACCTTCCTACCCTATTATTTCTATGACTTTCAGTTCCTTGAATAAACTATGCTGTCTCTTACATCTGCCCATTTTCTTATGCTGTGCCACTACTCAGAATACTTTCTGTTGTCATGTGCACCACCACTTAGCAAGGTAAAAATTGTTGTCAACTTGTATAAATTTTTGAGTTGTAAATATTATTTCACAAGGATATCAAATTTGAATGTTGAATCAACCTCATTTTTACTTTTTCTGTTTTTAGAAGATAAGGATCCTAATTTAGAAACAATATTGAATATCCCTTCAGCACTCACTCCAACAGTGGTTCCTGTTATAGTGACCGTTCCTCAAAGCAAAACTAAAGGGAAAATAAAAGGCAAAGAAAAACCCAAAGAATCTCTTAAAGAAGAAGAGCACCCAAAAGAAGAAGAGAAAAAGGTAAACGAACCTTGCTGTAGATTCCCAAACTCTGTTTCTGCTTCAGTGTTAACTTTTTTAAAACCATGAATTACGTCAATAGTGTTATTACAGTGCATACATTTTATTGTGCAGATACATTAACGTCCCTTGTAGTCTCAACTTTGAATAGACAAGAAGGATTTGTAAACAAAAGTTGGGTTACCACTCCAGGAGACATATTGTCATACATAAGTTGTCTCAGGTCATTCATTCTAAGTTTGGAAAAACTTAGTTCAACCTTTTTTCCACTCTATTTCTTGGATTTTCTTTGCTTTTGATTGGTCAATTTGCTGCCATCCCGTATTTTTAATACTTTGTTTAGCTCCACTGAGATGAATAACAATTGGAAGAAAAATATATTCAACCAAACAATGGAAACAGTTTCATTTGGTCAAGTTGGTCTTAGATATTGATGTGCTAAGAATCTAACAAGACTAACAGCCCACCTCTGATTAAAGAGAAGTCCACCTATTACCCCTAGCCCTTCATCATAGTACACACACACACACACACACACACACACACATACTTTGACTCTAAATGTTTTCCTAACAGAACAAAGATCAAAAGATGGTTCTGCTTTTACACTGTTGGTGGAAGTGTAAATTAGTTCAACCATTGTGGAAGACAGTGTTGCAATTCCTCAAGAATCTAGAACCAGAAATACCATTTGACCCAGCAATCCCATTACTAAGTATATACCCAAAGGATTATAAATCATTCTACTATAAAGACACACACTTGTATGTTTATTGCAGCACTGTTTACAATAGCAAAGACTTGGAACCAACCCAAATGCCCATCAATGATAGACTGAGTAAAGAAAATGTGGCACACATACACCATGGAATACTATGCAGCCATAAAAAAGAATGAGTTCATGTCCTCTGCAAGGACATGGATGAAGCTGGAAGCCATCATTCTCAGGAAACTAACACAGGAACAGAAAACCACCGCATGTTCTCCCTCATAAGTGGGAGTTGTACAATGAGAACACATGGACGCAGGAAGGGGAACATCACACACCAGGGCCTCTCAGCGGTCAGGGGTAAGGGGAGGGAGAGCATTAGGACAAATAGCTAATGCATGTGGGGCTTAAAACCTAGATGTCGGATTGATAGGTGCAGCAAACCACCATGGTACATGTATACCTATGTAACAAACCTGTACATTCTGCGCATGTATCCCAGAACTTAGAGTAAAATTAAAAAAAAAAAAATTTTAAAAGAGGGTTTTAAAACACAGGTAACAAGAAAACTACTGGTTAAGTCTTGACTATTGGTACTTACTACTAAAAAAATACAGTGAAAAAATAATCAACTACGGGAAGATAAAAATATGTTTAAAAGTCCAAGAACCTGGGTTTCAGACTCTGGCCTTTTAAAAGTTACGAGTTTTAAATACGACAATGCCTCTGCACCATATTTACATAGGTATACTAGATAAAATTTCTCATGCCAGGCCACTTGACTCTTCTTAAGTAAAAATATTCAAGTATTAAAACAGAATAACTCCAGGTAATTCTTTTAAAATTAATTTGGCCAAAGGCATCTTGCTAGCAAACTAATGTGTTCACTCAATGTTTTTTAAATAAATGATAATGGAAGGATGAAGGATGATAACTGGTTTTATGTGTGATGATAGATTTGCCATGGAAGGTTTGCATCTTTGAGCAGTTTTGTTCATTTTACAGAATTTAATAAGCATTTTTCTCTTATTTTTGCTTTGCATTTTTAATTTATTTTTAGCTAACTATTTATATATTTTTCCTCAGTGACAAAGAAAAGGCAGAACAACTTAAATGTTCAACAATAGAAGACTAGTTAGAAAAAAACAAATATCCACCAATTGGGTACCAGTGGAGTGATTTTGGTGGTTAACAAAAGAGAACCAGTTAGAAAAATTCAAATGATTATCATTAGGGATTGTTTGAAAGTTAATAAGTAAATTTCATTCTTTAGTACATATAACCAAACAAGGGATTTAGGCATAACTGACATAAAATTAATTAGGATTTTAAAGTAAACACACTCAAACCCTCATTAATTTATAAATAACTTTATAATTGTCTTTTATTTTTATTTTATTACTTTCATTTGCTACAAAAGCAATATGTGCTCATAATAGAAAACAAAGGACAGATACCTTAATAGCATAATATCTCTAGCATCCAAATTGTAAGAACATACCAAAAAAAGTGATGGAGATGTTGGTCTTTCAAACACTTTTTCTGTATTACTTTGGGCTGCTATAAAGAAATAGACTGGATGATTTATAAACAATCAAAATTTATTGCTCACAGTTAAAGAGGCTGTGAAGTCCAATATCAAGATATTAGCAGATTTGATGTCTGGTGAGGGCCTGTTTCTCTTATTTTATTTTATTTTATTTTATTTTATTTTATTTTATTTTATTTTATTTTATTTTATTTTATTTTAGATGGGGTTCTTGTACTGTCACTCACACTGGAGTATGGTAGTGTGGGCTCAAACTCCTGGGCTCAAGCAGTCATCCCACCTCAGCATCTTAAGTAGCTGGGACCACAGGCATGCACCATCATGCCTGGCCAATTCTTTTAATTTTTAAGGAGACTGGGTCTCACTATGTTACCCTGGCTGTTCTCTAACTCCTTGCCTCAGGTGATCTTCCCAACTCAGTCTTTCGAGTAGCTGAAATTGCAACCACAAACTACCATGCCCAGCTATTCTTCATACAGATGGTGCCTTCAGTGTGTCATCACATGGCAGAAGAGAAATAGGCAAAGGTGTTCCCATCAATCTCTTCTTTAAAAGCACTAATCCCATTCATGAGGGTGGAGCCCTCATGACTTAATCACTTTCTAAATGGCCCCACCTTTTAATACTGTCACATTAGGTGTTAGGATCCAACATATGAGTTTGGGTGGGGGCCACCAGCATTCATATGCCAGCACTGCTCTTATGCCTACATATCCAAACAGAGGCATCTTTCAAGGCCTACTTCAAGCCCCAATTATTTCACAAATCCTTTCCCAATTGTTCTTATTAACTTTCACTATATCTCTATTTTCTGTGAAAAGATGTGCCGACTATTGTTACTGCCATTTGTCCCACCTGTCTGTGTGCCAGTCTGCAAGTAGAATATAAATTGCAAAACCAGAGACTCATGTGTCCTTGCAGGGTCCACCTAGCTCTGTGCAAGTCAGGTCCTGAGCACTCAGCACATCCTTGCTTAGTCAAAATAAATAATAACTCATTTAGAAAATGACAACCAGTTATTCACATGCTGAATTATTTACAGGAAGAAGTAGAACCAGAACCTGTTTTACAAGAGAATTTCGATGTTCCCATCTTCCAAAGCCTAAATGTGTCTTGCCCCAGTGGGCTCCTGTTGACTTTCATTGGGCAAGAATCTACAGGTGAGTGCTATATGGGGTAGGGTGGGGAAGCGGGGAGCAAAATGGCATGTAAAAAACAGGAAATTGTGTATTTTCTTACCAGTTAAACATATGTCTTGTTGATAATGAGCAATAGACCTTTTTCACATTTTTAGCATTTACTATGGCCAGGCACTAAGTATTTAGTATACATGTCAAAAATACAAATATTATGAGCTAGATACTAACTACTCCATTTTACAAAATAAGGAAATCGGGGCTTCAGGAGGCTCAGTTACTTGCCTAAGGTCACTCAACTCTCAAGTGGCAGAGCTGAAATGCTATTCTCAGCCCAGTGATGACAAAGCCAGTGCTCTTAAAAACTTGTGTATATTCCTACGTCCTTCACTCTACAGAGGGTCATGGGTGCAGCATGTTGCTGGTCTGACCAAAACAAATGACACTGGACACAAAATACGTAGAGATAGATGCAGATTAAATAGGTTAAGAAAACCAAGTCTTCTTTTTCATGTGTCCATATATAATTTTATAGTGTATTATCTCTGTTGGTTCTGTACATAACTCCTAACTTCTTCAGCTACGTAAATAAGTACAAGTAAGATTTCTTTAATTAACCTGATGAGGCATCTGCATTTGTAACTGAATCTGAATATCATTTAAATAGAAACTCACTGTTGCAGTAGAAGTAGGAGATGCAACAAAGCAGGCACTGAACAGGGACTTGAGTTCTAAAGCTGACCCTGACGCCAATGAATGATGTGGCCTTTTTAAGTTACTTAGGGTCTCAGGGCCATGTTTTCTCATCTGAATAATACTACATTACATTAGCAATTCTTTACAGTTTCACAACTTAATATCCTTTTTCATATAATTCCCTTATGTATATCACATTTGAAAAGTGTATCTATCAAAGAAAAAGGCTATGCTTATTTAAAAATAATTTAATATTTTATTTACTTGCCAGCCTCCTCCCTACCCCAAAAAAACAGAAACTAAGTGTTGAAGTTAAATTTTGCTTCTCCTTAGGCATTCTAAATTATTAAAAATAGCCCATGGACCCTGCTCCATTCCCAAGAATCCCTAGTGGTCCAGGTTTTCCCACTGTGTTGAATGATCACTGAGTGTCTTCCAGTCGAAGAGCTATGAGTGTACTCAAAGAGATGTTGCTTTCAAATTCAAGGATATATTTGTTTGCTTGTTTGATCCTGTTATCAAACCCCAGCTTAATACCCCTTTCAACTGTCTTTTCTAGTAGTTTCATTATCCAGCCTAATATTTTCCTCCTTATGTTAGGGTAGACAATGTAGTTAATAATAACTCATCTGTTCAAAATCATCCATATACTATGAAAATCCTAATTCAAGTCTGAACATAACATAAATACCAAAGTAGCAATATCTTCATCAGGGTCAGCCTTGGACATTAGGGAAAGACAGTTATCATGGGATAAGAGGAAACAGCCTAGACTTGAATCCTTTTCTGAGTGACTTTTTGTTTTTGGCTGTTAGTGGTGGTTGCTTTTATAGTATAAGAAAATGATTCAAATTTCACTTCTCTTACTTACTGGTTGTGTGTCCTTAGTGCTGGATGGTTACTAAGTGTCTTCCAAAGTTATAGCTTTCTAAGTTAATAACCTCTCCAAGCCTCTATTTCTTCATCTGAAAACTCTGGAAAATTAAAGTGCCTATTTTAAAGGATTGTGAAGGCAGACTCAATAAAAGATACATGTATAAAGCATTTAACATATAGAAGAAATAGCCCAATAAATGTTTATTGGTTTATCATTATTAGTAGTACTTCCGTGATTTAAGGGGTGCCATGATTTTCCCATCAGGCTGATACATAGTTCTTAAAATGCTATCATTATGTGTTAATTCCTTTGTGTTAAGGCTTTTTGGCCCCAATAAACCATATTATAAACTAAGAGGAATTTATTCAGTTAGCAAAGCCTGACTAGGTACAGTATGCCAGAATTTCTCCATAATAGTGCTTGCTTTTGAAGGAACTTATTAAGTGCTTTTCCCCTTGATTGCCAGCTAACAGCAGAATGCTAAGATAAATCTGGATTTGGTTAGAGATGAGGGGATTATGTTAACGTTAACTTTGAAAGATGACAGATGACTTAGGAAAGGCAAGCCTGAGGGGGTGACTTCCCCTGGGGCTATGGGCAACCAGGCACCACCAGGGAAGCGTGTGTATCCAGGGTGGAAAGTTTAGTCAAAGGTGAGAGATAAGCACCAGTGGGCAGGAAGAGGAAACACCTAATTCAGCAAAACTCTGCTTCCTTCATAATTTTGCCCGAATTTGTCCTAGATTTTATTAGAGAGAGTGGCTTACACATGGAGAAGGTACCTACCAGGTGTTGTAGATGACCTAATTTACTACCTTTAAATGTAACAAGGTCAGCAAAGAACCACTATTCTAGGCCATCTGTCATAATATGGAAACTGCCCTATTACCCACATGCAGACAAAAGAAAATAAGCACCAGGCATGGTGTCTCACACTGGTAATCACAGCACTTTGGAAGGCTGAGGTGGGAGGATCGCTTGAGGCCAGGAGTTTGAGACCAGCCTAGCCAACATAATGAGACCCTGTGTCTACAAAAAATAGAAAAACTTAACAGGGTGCTATGGTCCAAGCCTGTAGTCCCAGCTGCTCAGAAGGCTTGAATCCAGGAGTTTGAGGCTGCAGTGAGCTGTATTTGCACCACTGCACTCCAGCCTGGATGACAAAGCGAGACCTTGTCTCTATTTTTAAAACAAAGAAAAGAAAAGAAAAGAAAAAGAAAATAATTAAGCAAGAAGATAAAATCCAGCCCTGCAGCATTGCCCAGTTCACAAGAAAGCTCTATTCTTTTTTTAGATCAATGTGTTATAGATGAGGAACCCACCTGGGACATCATGGTCCGTCAGAGCTACCCCCAGAGGGTGAAGCACTATGAGTTCTATAAAACGGTGATGCCACCCGCAGAGCAGGAGGCTTCAAGGGTTATCACCAGTCAAGGCACTGTTGTCAAATATATGTTGGATGGATCCACACAGGTAAAAGAATGTGTTAGAGAAGTTATTCTTCCCTGTTCCAAAGTAAAAGACAGGTTATGGGTAAGGAACAGTTCTATAGCAGGGAAAAGGAACAACTCACTTGAAAAAGGAATGACACCTTAAAATGACAAATGATAAATAATGTAGTTTAGAATTTAAAAAATCACTATGCAGAGCAAGATATGAATAAACTTGTCATTTCTCTGCATGATCTAAGATTGCAAACTGAACACAGTTTTTTCCTTTTCTCCCTCTCAAGGTATCTTAAACTAGTTTTTAACATTTAAATAATGAATTCATAGTGGTACTGGAGAACAACAAAGCATGTCATCAATAATAGATCAGAAGATTTGGAGAATTTCTTTTAAAATGCAGATCAGATGCTATCAAACTGATGGAGAAATATGCACACACAAAGTTAAAACATACACAAGAGGAGAACATGCAGCAAAACTAAAAGTCAAAATGGGAGTTCTAACACAAACATTTGCACATGGAGCTCTGGGCTCAGAAAATGAGGGTAGTTCCCCAGGTAACTCACTGTCACCTGGAGGATGGGAACGAGAAACCTTAACAATCAGAAGCCATATACCTGCTCTTTCCTTCCCCAGTGATCACAAAACAGGAGCTCCTGTGAGCAGACACTGTACCACCAAGAAGTAAAAGGGATTCTCAATGAGAAAGATGACCGTGCACTCAAGAATCATAAATCTTGGAAAGAAAGCAATCCCATAAAAGTAAAGTACATAATTCAGTAACTGAAAGAAATAGCACCTGAAATTAAATACTTTAAAAATTTAAAAGTGGGTAAAAGCAATATAGGCAGACTTGAGAGGTTAACAGTTCACAACATAACAACTTTTTTTAAAGTAGCTAAGGAAAAATATCAAGAGTTCTTAGAAATTAGAAATAATTGTGAATGATCAAAAACGGGAGGGGGTAGATTATGAGGGAGAGAAAAGCTGAGAGATGTGGGAAAAGGGTCCATATAATATAATTTCCAGAAGAAGAAAATAGTAAGAATGAAGGGAGAAAAGAATCAAAGACATGACATAAGAAATTTTCACAGAGCTTAAAAAGAATACTTCAGATTAAACAGGGCAACCGAATGACAATCAGAACTTTAATGTCTTTAAAGGATTATCTAAATATGCCGTCATGCAATTTTAGGACTGCACAGATAGACAATCCCAAAAGTTTCCTGAAGGAAACAAGTTACCTACACAAGAATAAAAACCAGATAGACATTTGACTTCTCATCAGCAACACTGACCTTAGTCCTTGTCACGTTTGTTGGGAGTGTCTAGGTACCGATATCAGATAGACAAATCTATGGTACCTAGAGACACTGTACATACTAGATAGATATTAATAGAAACTACAAATTTAAATATGTGATAAAATTTTAAAAACAGTCATTAGAAAAATTGAAATAGAGTTTATAATTTCCCAATCGCAAAGGGGAAAGGTGAAGAATGGAAAAAATAAAACTCAAATCAATCCAAGAAAAGATGGAAATAGAAAAGAAAAGAAATAAAATAAAAGGTAAATAGAAAATATAAAATAATATTATTGTGGTGGTAACTAGGCTATTGTCTCTGAACTCCAGATCTACCTTTCTATAATCTGCTTTGTGCTGCTGGGTCTGGAGGTCTGCAAACAGCGCTTCTTCTGTGGATCATGTTGAACCTATTTCCATTTGACACACAGTGTTTATTGTTAAACAACGTCTCCCTTGCTTCTGAGAATGCTGGAAACTTTTGTTCTTTCTTCAGATTCTCTTTGCAGATGGTGCTGTGAGCAGTAGTCCCAATTCAGGTCTTATTTGTCCTCCTGAAATGCCAGCAACCCCTCACAGTGGAGATTTGATGGACTCTATTTCTCAGCAGAAATCAGAAACGATACCGTCTGAGATTACCAACACAAAGAAAGGTAACAACTGAAGCCTCTCAGTTTATAATGGATTTACTAAAGTCTTCAAGGGCTTAGTAAGTGTTCAATATTATTATTATTATACTTGTAACCTTTTCTATGAATATATTCTTATATATTCTTATACATATATACATATAAATGAATTCTTGCTATCACAGAATTACGTACTGTTTCATGAACTGCTTTTCTCTTAGTAATAAATAATTAACAGTTTCATATGTTGTTACACATTCTTACACATCAGGTATAATGCCTAAGCTGCAGTTTTAGGGTTGATTGGGCAGATTGATGATGTCAGGATTATGAGTGGGCATCTCTGTGATTCTCTTGAACTTTTCCTCATAATTGCAAGAAGGTATATCAACTCTAGGCATGAGGTCCTCATTCAGCAACTTCCAAGAAAAGAGGGCAAATGCAAGAGCTTTCTTCAAATGTCTCTGTTCATCAGGAAGGAAAAGGAGTTCCAGAACTCCACATCTCACCCCAGCAGACCTGTCTTGATGTCATTGATTAGACCTGGCTGGGGACCAAGGTTAGAAAAACAAGTATCTGACATTTTTTGCCTCTGTCTCAGGAGACAGCACTACTAGGAGGGAAAAAAGAAGGTGAACAATACTTGGATAAGCAATGAACAGGGTCTGCCATAATCTAAATTGCAAGACTGCTGTCCTGAGAAGTGTTTTCAATTTATACCCCTACCACAACCACAGGAAAATGTCTACTTCCTCATACCCTCACCAATGCCAGATATTATCATTCTTTTAATCTTATTCAGCATGATAATCAATGCATCTTATTGTGTTGATTTGCATTTCTTTAATTACTGGTGAGGTTAAACATCTAAAGATGTTTACTGTTTGTTTGTTATTTTTTTTCATTTTATGAATTTCCTATTCACATCTTTTCTTGGTTTACCATTGTGATGGTCTTCATTTTCATATGAATTTGTAAGATATATTTTTATATAGAAGGTGCATATTTGTGTAACAGGAAAAAAATCTGGTGTTTCAAATATTAAATCAGCTAACCCTCTGTGAGGCACATATTTTAATAATCCCCAATTTACAAACCAGAAAATTGAGGGAGAGAGGTTAAGTAATTTCCTTGAGGTCTCTTAGCTAGCAAGTGGTAGAGCTGGGATTTGAGTCTGGGTCCCTAACCCCTAAATTATGCTGCCTCTCCTGCCTTACAAACTTTTCTCGATTTCTCAATATGCCTTTAATGATCTAGATTTAAATCTAGAAACCTAGATTTAATCCTTTTTTATCAGTTTCACACATCTCACCACAGTACCCAGAAATATTATATGGAAGCAACTGGATTACTTTTTAATTACTCAATATTTAGTAAAACAGATTTTCCTTCAGTAGTAGCAGAAGGTTGCTGGTTAGAGAAGTATCCAGGTAGCTCTCCAAACTTCTCGGCTCAAGGGTTCCATCTTTGGTGGATACAGAGGACTTGATATAAGAGTAGTTTGTGTAGCCGCTTTTCTAATAGCCTACCCTGGTTCTGGAGAACTTCTGCTTCTAGCACAGTGTGCCCCAGATTTTCTTCACAGCCCTTCCATCCAAGACGATGCAATCACTTTTTAAATTAATAGGCTATTTTTAGAGCAGTTTTAGGTTTACAGAAAAATTGAGTGGAAAGTACACAGAGTTCCTGTTTACTCTGCTCACAGTTTCCCCAGTTATTAACATCTTGCTTTAGTGTTGTATATTTGTTACAACTGATGAACCAATCTTACATTATTATTGACTAAAGCCCATAGTTTACATTCGGGTTCACCCTTGGTGTTGTACATACTAAATCTCATGTATCATACAGAATAATTTTGCCACCCTAAAATTCCCTCTTCACCTATTCACCTTTCTTATTCCACCCATCCTGAACCATGCACACCCTACCCCACCAAACTCCTGGGAACCACTGCCCTTTTTATTGTCTGTATAGTTTTGCCTTTTCCAGAATGTCATATGATTAGAATCATACCTTAGGTAGGCTTTCTAGACCAGGTTCTTTCACTTAGTAATATGCATTTAAGATTCTTCCCTATCTTTTTGTGGCTTGATAGCTCATTTTTATCACAGTTTGATTGATATTAATTTAATTGATATTTCATCAATTAAATGAAATATTATAGATAATATTTTATCAAATCCTCAGATTGTTACAATTCTTTGGTTAATATTCAAAGTTCTGAAAAAGTTTACTTTGATTCTTTTTAAAAACATTCTCATAGTTCTTAGGGAGGGGTAGGTTTTCCCTGGTCTTTACTTGCCATTCTAGGAGTGTATCCCATCTCACAAGAAATATGTATTATTTTTCTTATTTTTCAATCCTAAATACTTATTTCCACTATAGCTTTTTATTTGACTCTTGAATTATTTAAACTTACTTCTGGATTTGAAGCCTATGTGGTGTTTCTATTTGTTCTTATAACTGATTTTTGATGAACAATTTAAAAATGTGTTTAAATGGTCAAGTTTTTTTAAATGTCTGTGCTTGAAAAGAGCATGTATCTTGTTATTTGGTACAATGTTCTCTTTATGTTTATTTGATGAAATGTGTTAGTTTTAATGTACAGATCTATATCTGAGTCCAGCAAACAATGCTGTAAAAGGCCATAGAGTAAATATTTTAGACTTTGTGGGCCATATGTCACTGTCACAACTACTCAACTCTGCCATTGGAGCATAAAAACAGCCATGGGCAATACGTTGTTAAATAAGCCTGGGTCTGTTGTATTCTAATAAAATTTTATGTGCACTAAATATACTAAATTTGAATTTTATATAATTTTCATGTTATAAATTATTACTATTCTTTTGATTCTATTAGCTATTTAGAAATGTAAAAAGAATTACTACTTCACAGACTGTACAAAACAGACAGCAGGCCTTATTTGTCCGTAGTCCACAATTTGCCAACCCCTATTCTATATTTTTACAGATGTTTTAAATGTGCTACATCAGTTTACTTAGCAAAAGGATGTTTAAAGAAAAGATAGAATAGTCTGTTTGGTGCTGTGTTCCTTATCATTTAATCATTATTTCTTTATTTGTGAAATAAATATGTCTTTTTTATAGTTCTGTCATTTTTCTTTATTTATTTTAAGGATATGATAGATATTTATACATTTAGAATTATTGTATCTTCATTAATTTAAACTTTCATCATTATGCAATGACTTTCTTTTTTTTGTTTTTTTTTTCTTGAGACGCAGTGTCACTCTGTTGCCCAGGCTGGAGTGCCAGTGGCACAACCTCAGTTCACTGCAACCTCCACCTCCCACATTCAAGCAGTTCTCGTGCCTCAGTCTCCCAAGTGGTATTAGAGGCACGTGCCATCACAGCCGGCTAATTTTTGTTTTGTTTTGTTTTGTATTTTTAGTAGAGACAGGGTTTCACTATGTTGGCCAGGCTAGTCTTCAACTCCTGACCTAAAGTGATCCGCTTGCCTTGGCCCCCCAGAGTGCTGGGAGCCACTGCTCCTGGCCTGCAATGACTCTTTATTCTAGAATTCTTTTTACCCTAATGTCTGTTTTGCTTGTTTTATTATAGCTACACCAGCCACTATTTAATACTTTACCAGTATAACTTTTTCCACATTTACATTTCACCTTCTGTGGTTTTTGTTTAAATGTGTCTCTTGTAAGCAGCAAACAGGTGAATATTTTAATAATTCAATTTGAAAATATTTGTCTCTAGGGTTTCAGTCCATTTATTGTATATCAAATAGTTTCCAAAAATGTCTTTATGTTGTCCTCCATTCTTGAAAGATAATTTCACTTGGTATAGAATTCTAGCTTGTAGATATTTTCACTCAGTACATTGAAAATATCCTTTATACTCTCTTACTTCCAATGTTGCTGTTGAAAAGTTGGCTATCATTTAAGTTGTTGTTGCTTTGAGGATAATCTAACTACCTTTAAAATATTCCCTGTGATTTTTAATTGCAATTTCAATATAATTTGACTAGGTATGGATTTCTTTTTATTTATCAAAGTGGGTTTACATTGAGCTTCTTAAATCTATAAATTTGTATTTTTCATTGATTCTAGAGATTTCTCAATAATTATCTCTTCAAGTATTGTTTCTGATCCATTTCCTTTTTCTTCTCTTCTTCTGGAATTCCAATTAAACATATTTAAGAGGCCTTGAACTTTTTTTTTTTTTTACTGCTATTTCTTCAGTTCTCTGAGCTTCATTCTAAGCAATTACTTTAGGTCTTTCAGTTCTCTTTTAAGCTGTGTTTTGTCTCCTGCTAAACCTGCGTGTTAATTTTTTAAATTTCAGTTATTACATTTTTTAACATCTAACAATTCTCTTTGTTTCGTTTTATAATCAGTCTTCTCTTTAGTCATGTTTTTGTCCCCTTTTTATTTCTGGAATCACATAAAGTATGCATTTTATGTGCTGTGCCAGATCATTTCAATATCTAAAGTATTGTAGATCTAATTCCATTTTCTGTTGCTTCTTCTGGCTTTCACTTGAATTGACTTGTTTCATTGTGTCTTGGTACTTTTTGATTATGAGATGATAATTTTTTCTTATTGCTTTAATTCTAAATTCTTAGGCTGGTATAAAAGTGCATTTTTTTTTTTGAGACATGGTCTCACTCTGTCACCCAGGCTGGAGTACGGTGGCATGATCACAGCTCACTGCAGCCTCAACCTCCAGGGCTCAAGCAATCCTCCCATCTCAGCCTCTAGAGTAGCTGGGACTTGCCTTTAGAGGTTTTAGTCCATTTATTATACACCAAATATTTTCTAAAAATGTCTTTATGTTGCCCTCATTCTTGAAATATCATTTCACTAGGTATAGAATTCTGGCTTACAGATATTTTCTCTCAGTACATTGACAATATCCTTTATATTCTCTTGCTTCCAATGTTGCTCTTGAAAAGTTGCTTTGCACCACCATGCAGCAGGTATGCACCACCATGCCCAGATTTTTTTTTTTTTTTTTTTTGTAGCAATGAAGTGTCACTATGTTGGCCAGGCTAGTCTCAAACTCTTGGGCTCCTGCCTTGGCCTCCCAAAATGCTGAGATTGTAGGTGTGAACCACTGTGCCTAGCCAATAGTGCATTTCTTTGTAAAGGACTTTGGTTTCAGAAAGGACTTTAGCAGTTGATAGGGGAACCAACAGTCTTGGATCACTTTAAATTATTAATTTAAGGAATTTCTGAGGGTGCCACTCAAGTGGTGTGAATTTTCACTTCAAACCTATGTAAGGATCTACTTGTGGTTATACAGCCTCTTAAGTACTTTCTTGTCTTCTCTGCTCAGCACCAAGTTTGAACACAGGCAAGCTTTCTGACAGTTCTGGAGTGGGGTGGGAAAAGACATGAGTGATTTCTGTTAATAATTCACACTTAGTCTGAGAGTGTAGTCATTTGAGGGCCTCATATCAAGCCTTCCATCCAGATTGTGCAGGTTCTGGCATTCATTTCTGCCTGAGTTCCACAATGCTAAGAAAACAAATACTCAGAATCACCCAGTTTGACAAAAACTCACTGGACAAAATCCAACTTCAGAGCCCTTGTACCTCTTTGGCTTCCTACTTTTACGTAGTCCATGACTTGTGCTGATCTTACTTATAGTTGCCAGCTCAGAGTCACTTTCAAGAAGATTGATTAAAAGGTGTTTTCTAGCAGTTATGGTTCTTTTCAGTGGAATTATTGGTATCTAGTCTGTGATGTTGCTAAAAATGAAACTCCAACCCTGCTTATTTTCTTCCTCACCTTTGACCTGATCCTTGGTCAGTTTGCTTTTTTGACCCAATACTTAATGGAAAACAATAGTTGATTAAGATTTCAGGATCTGCATGTGATTCTTTCTCTTATCCTTTCACTGCCATCCTCATCCTTTCATATCCAAATTTGTTCCCCAATATACATTTGTATCAAAATTGTACTCATTTATCTCTCCTGCCAACTTGAATTTGTAATACTTTAAAACCTTCTAACTGTTCTTCCTGCTTTTATTAGTATCAATTTTGTATCTTTCTGCCAAAAGCATGTAACTAATCTTCCAAGTATCTCACTTTCTCTCTTATAACACTTTAGTTATTAAATATTACCTATAGGAAAAATTCCAAAGTCTCTAACATACTGCTAAAGCCCACTCAATTGAATCAGTGCCTACCTCTTCAGTCCCTTCTCTCATCCAAAATCTGCTTGAAATGTATCATCTGGTCACATTGGTCTGTGTATACTATGCTATTCTTTACCCCAGTGTATTTCTTATGTTCCTTATGTTGGAATGCCCTTTCCATAGCTCACCATTTTTGATTAGAAAAAGTAATAAGAACAGAAGGAGAGGGGACGGAAATAGGAGAAAAACGGAGAATATAGAAAAAATGATAATTCCTAAAGTATTTCCTACTATTTCTAGAGGGTCTTCTCTTTATTCTGAAAGCGATACTATTTTCACTCTCTACCAATATTCCATAAGTATAAATACGTCCAAATTAAATTTTAGGGCAATGAAAAGGCTCAACCTGATTTATCTGTCTTTGGTTCTTCCCATTAGTTGAGTCCCTATTAGTTAGGTCGAGATGCATGTTCTGCTGCACATTTCATGGTTTGAATCTAGAGAATCTTACAAGAGTTAACATGCCTTTACTATCATTACTTGCAATTTGTTTCTGAGCCTGAGTTCACCTCATCATTGAGATGTGATAACACTGTCAAGTCTCATCTACAGATTACTCTTTATTATTCATGGAAATAGAGTATGTCTACCCTGATAGAGCATTGAAATATTGGCCAAGGAGTTCCATGAGGGTGTCTTCAGTTCTCTCCTCCGGTTCCCAATGAGTGGGAGGTAGAGGATGGAGAGGAGGATGTATCAGACAATTGTTGATGTACTAATTAAACTGCACAAATTCCTCTCCCCAGGGATATGCCTGGCTGGTGAGGTTTCCCAGATCCAGGATTGAAGAAAGATGTTTCCTGTTATTACTGACAAAATAGCAAAATCAGGGGAATCAAGAGTTAAAAACTTAGTAACTGTTATAGTCCAATATGTCAAAAAGAGGCTGAAAGTTTGAAGATAAGTGAGAGAAAAGGTAGGCTTTAAAAAACAGAATACAAAACCCAAAATCTGGGACTCAGGGAGAAGTACACAAGACCGAAAAGAGTACAGAAGTTGACCAGAATATATTTTGTGCCCTAGAAATGAGTTGTGTAAGCATGTGTATGTCTGGGGAAACGTGGTGGAAATTTAGCCACGGTTTGAGTGCCAAAACTAAGCTACTCATAACCTCATACTTTTCCCTATTGAGAAATAATATGATTGATGAATACCACTTAGAATTGTCTATACCACAGTATCTGAGGTAGTTTTCACTGTATCAAAACATAATGAATGATGTATATAATTGATATTATAGTTATATTGTTGTTGTTTGATTTTACTTGAACTTCACAGGAAAAAGTCACAAAAATCAGTCATCAATTGCCCATAAGGGTGAAATCCATGACCCTCCTCCAGAGACAGTTCAAACTGTAACTCCTGTGGATGTTCACATAGGCACTTGGTTTACAACCACACCTGAAGGAAATCGGATTGGCACCAAAGGATTAGAAAGAATAGCAGACTTGTCCCCATTATTATCCTTTCAGGCCACAGATCCTGTCAATGGAACGGTATGACAAACTATTGTTTATTGCAAAATTTTCTAAGTCTTTAGAATTCTGAAACAACACCCAAAAGAGTGCCTAGCTGATAATATTTTTTCAATAAATGTCTGTTAAGTAGTGGGTGAGTGGGTGGATGGACAGATGGATGGATGGATGGATGGATGGAGGGATGGATGGATGGATGGATGGATTCATTTTCCAAAATCTAAAAACATCTTATGGTATATTTGCCAAATGGAGAGTATCATTAGCGACTCTTTTTGTGTGTTGTGGGCACAACCACGTCAGAACAAAGTGCTAATTTTTAAGGTGAGTGGCAGTTCCTGAGTTCTCTATGCCACTTTTAAGATATATGTGATTAATGATGTTGTCGGGTGTTTCCTTATGCTGAATGTATGTGTGTGAATATCTTCTGGAAGTGAGAGGCTTCTGGAAGTGAGTGTCTCATTACTACTTATTTGTGTCCACTTGCAGTTGATGAGAGAAGTTTGTTCATGATCCTTTGATTTTGAAAAACTTACGGTATATTGAAAGAGATAAGACACACATTAAATAACTCAAGAATCCAAAACTGTAGAGAAGCTTTACAAAAACTTTATTTATAGGATAAGAATACATGAAAAATTAGTGGTACAGAACATAATGGTTCTGTTTATGATATAAAAAGCCAAACTCCTGGAATGAACAATAGCAGTTTCTGTGTACCAGGACCTTTTTTTTTTTTTTTTTTTTTTTGAGATGGAGTTTTGCCCTTGTCACCCAGGCTGGAGTGCAATGGTGTGATATTGGCTCACTGCAACCTCCACCTCCCAGTTCAAGCAATTGTCCTGCCTCAGCCTCCCGCATAGCTGGGATTACAGGCACCTGCCACCACGCCCGGCTAATTTTTGTATTTTTAGTAGAGACAGGGTTTTGCCATGTTGGCCAGGCTAGCCTCCAACTCCTGACTGCAGGTGATCGGCCCACCTCAGCCTCCTAAAGTGCTGGAATGACAAGCATGAGCCACCACGCCTGGCCCTCTATGTACCAAGATTTCTTTGGGGGCCTTTATACACGTTATCTCATTCAGCCCTCACACCAAATGTATATTACACAGATGAGGAAATTGAACCTTAGCAAGTAATGTGGTCAAGAGTACATATTCAGAAAGTGCTGAAGCCAAGATTAGAGCCAGTTGTTTGTGACCAAACACTGAGCTCTTTCCATTCCTTAGCTATTCCTCTAACATCTTATATGGAGATTTGCAGCACCCTCTGAATCTAAACACAATGAACAGTTTCCTAAGTGCCTTAACTCTGGTGTCTGAACTTCCTACCCTTGTTTAAAACCATGTGCTGCTGTAAAAAGCAAAATGCCTGCATGCTATTGAGATGGATTACATTATCTAACCAAATATCTTTTCCTCTTCAGCCTACTTCTGAAATAATTTTGTAATCTCTGACTTTGTTTGCTAGTTGCCTTTTTTTGTAAGACTCAAAGTACATATGATCTCAGAAAGGATTTTTGTTTGTTTGTTTGTTTCCTGGGGTTTTTTCTTGTTTGTTTTAGTTCCTTCAAATAACTCACTTTAATTTGGCCCCTGAGTTAGATTATTTGGCTTAATATGCAAGTTTGATTAACATTTCTTTGTTAACTTTTAATTTCCCTCATTCATCTCCATCACCATTTTGGAAGCATGAACCAACATCCAAGAACCTGGATTCAAGCATGAATTAAACACCAAATGCACAACAGAATAAGAGCAATAATGGTGATATTTACTGAGCACTCACTGTGTACTAGGCCCTGTTCTCTGCATTTTCGATATACTAACTCAATCAATTCTCACAACAAACTACTATTGTTTCCATTTTATAGATGAGGCAACTAAGCTACAGAGAGGTTAAATAATTTGCCCAAGATCGCACAGCAAATGGTAGAGCCAGAATGTAGACCCCAACACTGTGTCCCAGATCTCAAGAAACTGGCATGATCATATGAAACAAAATTGAAAATGGGTTTGTATTTTCATAACCCCTGACATGAAGTATTACATTCTAAAGGAGTGAGCACTGCCCTTGGGGTGAGGCAGACCTGTATTTCAAGCCCTAGCCATAGTCCTTACTAGATGGATAACTTTTGGCAAGTTTCTCATCTGGTTTCTTATTCATAAACTGGAGATAACAGTCATTACCTGTTGAGAAGATTAGTACCAGACCTGGCACTATCAGGCATTCAGAAATATCCTTGTAACTGTGTTATTGCCACCACTAAGAATGATTACCCTATCCTATGGTGACCAGAAAATGTCACTGTTTATGTGGCATTATGAAATGTTTGAATAATCCTAAATCATAATATGTAACTATCTCTACTAGATTAAAAACTGATATCAATAATTACTAACATCATGGCCAAGTGTGACATGCTTTACCAGCATCATCTCATTTAACCCACATAAGATTTCCAAGAAGATACTAGAGTTGGCTCCATTTTGCAGATGAGTAAACCAGACAACAAACAGGTTAAGCAACATCCCTAAGTCTACCCAGCCATTTGTGGAGTCAGGATTCAAACTCAGGCAGCTTAATCCCAGAGCTCATACTCTCAACCATCACATTACACAGCAGTATTTCTCAGTATATGCTCCTGGTTGAAAGTGCCAATGATAAGAACCTAAAATAATGATCAGCATTCATTTCTCTCTTAGTGATTGCCGCCTACCATTAAGAGCTAAGAAGGTGATAATCACTTGCTCCCAATAGCCATAGACTCTGTGAGTCAGAAAATAACTAGCAAACTCACTCTCACATCCATCCAGACCTTCAGTGAAACATTAAGTTCCTTAGAGTTAGAACAGTATAAGTTTAGAAAATGCCCAATGATTGAAATATACATTATGCAGTTTACAGTACTGCAGTTGCAGGTTGAGCTTTCCAGAAGCAAACGCTGAGGTGAAGTCTGGAGTGCAAGATTTTAATAGAGACATGTATGTGAAAGGAGGAGGGAGAAAGCAGTAATGGGCAGAAGTAAAAGCTGAACTGTGAAGCAAACACAACAGAGCCATGGTCAACCCAGTGCAGAGCTCAGGAGCAGCAACACACGCACACCACTTCTCATACCCCTGAAGCTCACAGGCATGCACAGGCACTGAGCAGCAGACACATGTGCAGGTCAACTTGACACAGAGAGGCTACAACCTCTGTCCCCCACCAATCTTCAAGTACTGCTCTGATGACGTTAGCACGACACTTGCAGACCATCCTGCGGTTCACCCCATCTGGGGAAGTTCTGCAGAGCAGGGGTTTCACAGCACACAAGGCAGCCACAATATGCCACATTTATCATTATTCCATAGTTTCCAAGGAAACAGGGCCTGTGGGCATTTTCCCAGACAGACCTGGGTTAACCCAGTCCAAATGTTAAGTGTTTCCTCAAATACGCCCTGATACTTACTTGTTGCATGACTTTCAGCAAGCTTCTCAACTTCTTTAAGCCTAAATTTCCTCATCTATAAAATGAGGGTACCTGCCAAGATTGTTGTGAAGGTTAGATCAGGTAGATGAGATAAAACTTTTGCTTATAAAGAAATAACTAGGACTTTGATGGTGCCATCTTTGTATTCAATGGATAAAAATAAGTACACTTGGGATTAACCATGTGGCCAAATGATTATGTGCTGCCTTTTCATGTTCAGGTTATGACAACTCGAGAAGACAAAGTTGTCATAGTTGAAAGGAAAGATGGGACTCGGATAGTGGATCATGCTGATGGTACCAGGATCACAACCTTTTATCAAGTTTATGAAGATCAAATTATTCTGCCAGATGATCAAGAAACAAGTACGTTTTATTTAGCGTAAGTTAGATAGAATCCTCACTGACTGCTGAACATACACATGAGAAAAATAATTTTTTGGTAAAGTTAGTCAGCTAAAGAAAACCCATGCAGTCCAAAGCAGGGTCTATAAGGATTTAGTATTATTACTATCATCATTACTTATTTTGCTGTTTGCTTTTTAAAATTTAATTTTATTCTATCAATTGACAAATATTGTGTGTAGATATATAAAATATGGTGTGTTGAAATATGTATACATTGCAAAATGACTCAATCAAACTAATTAACATATTCATTACCCTCAGATACTTATTTTTAGTTGTGAGAAAACTTAAAATCTACTTTCTTAGAAATATTTTTTGACCAGCAGCACCCAGCAGCCAAAAGTTTCTCCAACACACCTCACTGTGTGTGTGTGTGTGTGTGTGTGTGTGTGTGTGTGTGTGTTTTATTTATGTATTCATTTATTTAAAACTTTTGAGTTAAGGGGTACATGTGCAGGTTTGTAATTTAGGTAAATTCATGTAACGGGGTTTGCTGTACAGATTATTTTGTCACCCAGGTATTAAACCTAGTACCCATTAATTATTTTTTCTGATCCTCTCCCTCCTCCTACCTTCCAGTAGGCCCTAGTATCTGTTGTTCCCCTCTATATGTCCATGTGTTTTCATCATTTAGCTCCCACTTATAAGTAAGATAAAGCAGTATTTGGTTTTCTCTTCCTGTGTTAGTTTGCTAAGGGTAATGGCCTTCAGCTCCAAGCATTTTCCAGCAAAGGATGTTATCGTGTTCATTTTTATGGCTGCATAGTATTCCATGGTGTATATGTATGCCATTTTCTTACTCCACTCTACCATTGATGGGCATTTAGGTTGATTCCATATCTTTGCTATTGTGAATGGTGCTACAGTGAACATACGTGTGTATATGTCTCTACAGTTAAATGATTTATGTTCCTTTAGGTATATACCCAGTAATGGGATTACTGGGTTGAATAGTACTTCTGTATTCAGGTCTTTGAAAAATCACCACACTGTCTTCCACAGTGTCTGAACTAATTTAAATTCCCACCAGCAGTGTATAAGCATTCCTTTTTTTGCTGCAACTTGGCCAGCATCTGTTACTTTTTGGCCTTTTAATAATTGCCATTCTGACTGATGTGAAAGTGCATCTCATTGTGGTTTTGATTTGCATTTCTCTAATGTTCAGTGATGTTGAGCTTTTCTTCATATGATTTTTAGCCACCTTTATGTCTTCCTTTGAAAACTGTTCGTGTCTTTTGCCCACTTTTGAATGGGGTTGTTTGGTTTTTTGCTTGTTAATTTGTTTAAGTTTCTTATGGATGCTGGATGTTAAACCTTTGTCAGATACATAGTTTGTATATATTTTCTCCCATTCTCTAGGTTGTCAGTTTAGTCTGTTGATAGTTTCTTTTGCTGTGCAGAAGTTCTTTGTTTTAATTACATCTCACTTGTCAATTTTTGCTTTTGTTGCAATTGCTTTTGGTATCTTTGTCATGAAATATTTGCCTGTTCGTATGTCTAGAATGGTATTGCCTAGGTTGTCTTTCAGAGTTTTTATAATTTGGGGTTTTACATTTTATTCTTTAATTCATCTTTAGGTAATTATTCTATATGATGTAAGGAAGGGGTGCAGTTTCAATCTTCTGCATATGGCCAGTCATTTATTTCAGTACCATTTATTGAATAGGGAGTCCTTTCCTCATTGCTTGTTTTTGTTGATTTGTTTAAGATCAGCTGATTGTAGGTGTGTGGCTTTATTTCTGGGCTCTCTATTCTGTTCCGTTGGTCTCTGTGTCCGTTTTGCTGCTTTGGTACCAGTACCATGCCACTTTGGTTACTGTAGTCCTGTAGTATAGTTTGAAGTTGAGTAGCACAGTTGCCTCCAGCTTTGTTCTTTGTACTTATCATTTTTAGTTGTGAGAATACTTAAAATCTACTCTCCTAGAAATTTTCAAAATATGATTAATTTTATTTACTATAGTCACCATGTTATACAGTATATCTCTTTAATTTATTCCTCTTATATAACTGAAATTTTATATCCTTTGACCAACATCTCCCCAACTCCTCACCCCGATGGCTGGTAACTACCATTCTACTCTCTACTTGTATGAGTTCAACTATTTTAGAGTCTACATATAAGTGTGCTGTTTGTCTTTCTGTACCTGGATTGTTTTACTTAAAATAATGTCCTCCAGGTTTATCCATATTGTTGCAAATGACAGATTTCTTTTTTTTTTTTAACACTGAATAATAATATTCTCTTGTCTGTATTTACTACATTTTCTTTGTTTATTCACCCATTGATGAACATGTGGACTGATTCCAAATCTTGGTTATTGTGAATAATACTGCAATGAATATGAGGATGCATTAGGACTTTTTATTGTGATCATTATCTCAACAGAGATGGGAGTGATAACAGCTCTAGTTAGCTGATGGAGAGTAATAGTCTTTGATTGGTGGCAACTAAAACCTAATAACCATGATTCATCTGTCCTAGGTGCTAGCTTTAGATGTTTCCTTTGATCCTCAAGGCATCTAATTTGCATAAATAGGTGACCTTAGATAGGTTTTCAGTCAGAGCATGTCTTTTGTCAGAAAGGTGGTATCAGAAAAAAGGAAACTGTAGTTGCTAATTAACAGGAACCTACTCTAAGACTCAAAGTCTTCCACTCTTCCGAACCTGAATTTAAGAAATATTTTTAATGAGAAGTTATTCCCTGAGTTCCCTTTCCTTAATGCCAGTGTTTTTTATTGGATATATTTAAGATGCACAACATGATATTTTGATATCTATACACATAGTGGAATAAGTCAAGCAAATTAATATATCTCTTACCTTATATAGCTGTTTTCTTGTGTGTGTGTGTGTGTGTGTGTGTGTGTGTGTGTTATGAGCACCTAAAATCTACACTCTTGGAAAATTGTCATTATACAATACAATGTTATTGACTATAGTTTTTATGCTATACATTACATTCTTATACTTATTCATCTTACATAATTGTAACTTTATATGCTTTGACCTACATCTCCCCACCCCACCCACATATCATATTATGATGCAATAACTTTATTTCTGCTTATAGAGAGAGGGACACTCATACACATTTGCATAAGGAAACAAGTATAGAGGAGCGACTTGCAGCATTGAGTATAATATTGAAATATTGGGAAAATGTAAATGTCCATCAATGGCAGAATAGAAAAATAAAATGTGGTACATTCCTACAAAATAATACTATAAGACTGTTAAAGGGAGTCATACACACACAAATAAATATATCTATGCACACATATATGGATAGATAGATATAGATTAAGATGGTTAGGGGTCTTGAAACTGTGTTAAATGAAAAAAGCAGGAGTAGAATGATAGTACAGTAATTACATAAATACATGGAATAACATATAGCTTATATACATTTAAAGCACACACATATGTATTGTTCATGAGATATGTGTACATAAAAGTGTAAAAATGAATTTCAAGATGGAAATAAGCCCAGATATAAGGATAAACTTCAATTTTATCTGTGATTTTTCTTTTACATATGTATTAAAAAGTATAAATTTTAATTGATGAATATCTGAGTGCTTAAATTATATTTTATGCTTTTCAATTTTTCAAGTTGAAAAATCAGATGTTCTCAGCTCCTACAAATAAATAGTGAGATTAAGACAGCATACTAAATTAAGTAAGAAGATTTTTTCCGGAGGAATTATTCTGAATTGACAAGAACAGCAGGCCTCACTCCAACCCTGCGGAGTTCTCAGTACTTGCTCTAGACTTTACAATTGTGTTTTTCCCATGGGGAATCCAGACAGCCAGGAAACAGCAGCAGAATCAATAGGCTGAGGTCTGTTTTGCAATGTCTACATCCTATCAGATCTGCTTACCTTGCATTTGCTTGTAGCCGAAGGTCCTCTGACTGTCACCAGGCAGGTGAAGTGTATGCGGGTAGAAAGCTCACGCTATGCCACTGTTATCACCAACTGTGAGGACAGTAGCTGCTGTGCCACCTTTGGAGATGGAACAACTATAATTGCAAAGCCACAGGGAACATACCAGGTAGGTCTAGAAGGAAAATGAGAAGTACCAAAGATGAGTGTCTATTTAGCTGAGAAAACCCACTTCTAAAATGCCTGCAATGTACATTGCTGTTGCTTTCTTTTCTCTTAGAATACTAACATCTTAGAATACACTTCTCAAACTCATTTATTCATCCCTTTTTACACCCCATGCCAGAAAAACATTGCCCTGCTTGTTTCGCAAAACTTTGGTAGTTTTGGACCAAGGTTATAAACCAAAATGTGTTTGTTGAGGATTTCTTATGTGCTAGGCACTGTGGGTGTTAGAAACCCTTAGATGATTTGGCTTGTGCCTAACAGACCTGCTTCACCTCCTGCCACCTCGACCCTCATTCTCACTCTCCATCTTTCCCACCTCCAGTCAGTCCTCCCTACTCTACTCGAAGTCCTAGCAGGACAGGAGGAGCACATGGTGTGTGTGGTCCCGGGAGGGCAGTTCTCCTAACTGAAGCAAAGCTCTGTCCTTGGAAGGTCAAGGAGGAGCAGTTAGCACCTTTCCCTACCTTTCTGCATTTCCCCTTTAAACACAACCATCCAGTGTCAGCCTGCACTTCCTTTAGCCTTAAAAGGACTTGCCTTCAGCTTTTCACTTGCTGGAGAAAGGACACTACAGCAAAAACGTTGCAAACAATGTCACTAGATACTGAGAGCTAAAAGCTAGAAGATGATGGACAAAGATCTCACTGATAAATATTTGTTACTGTGAAAGTTGCTGAAGTCAGTTTGTCCCTCTCATCTCTTCTGACAATGTTATCCTTCCCACTCTTTATCCAGTGTAGATTATTATGGGGCAAGGAAGGTGCTGGAAGTGAGAGATGAAAGAAAACATAGATATAAATTTTCATGTTTTTGATTAGGCAATAGTTTCTTAGATATGATACCAAACATACAAGCGTTACCAAAATAAAAAAAAAAAGTTTGTGATTCAAAGAACACCACCAAGAACGTGAAAAGATAAACTACAGAATAGAAGATATTATTTGAAAATCATATAACTGATAATGGTCTTGGGTACAGAGTACCCTACAACTTAGAACTCTCACAACTCAACAATAAAAAGACAATAACCAACCTCAAAATGAGCAAAGGATTTGAATTTCCCCAAAGAAGATACACAAATGGCAAATAAGCCAAGGAAAGGTGCTCAACGTCACTAGTTGTGAGGGAGCTACAGCGCAAACTGCAATGAGATTGCACTTCACACCTACTAGAAAACTGTAATCAAAAAGACAGATAATGGCAAGTGATAGCAAGGGTATGGAGAAATTGGAACCCTTGTAAATTGCTGATGGTGTAAGTCACTTTGGAAAGTGGTAAGTCACTTGGAAAATGGTATAGTCACTTTGGAAAACAGCTTGACACTTCCTCAAAAGGTAAACTTAGTTGTCATGTGACCCAGCAATTCCACTCCTATCCAAGAGAAACCATACATCTGCACAAAAACTTGTAAACAATATTTACAGCAACGTTTTTAGTAATAGCAAAACTGAAAACAACCCAAATGCATGCCAACTCATAAGTGAATAAAGAAAATGTGATATAGCCATACAATGGAATATTACTTATCCATAAAATGGAATAAAGTACTGTGTGCTACAACATGAGTGAACCTTGAAAACATTACGCTAACTGAAAGAAGCCAGACACAAAAGGCCACAGAGTACATGCTTCCATTTAAATGAAGTATCTAGAATAGGTTCATCCATAGACAGAAGATTAGTGGTTGCCAGGGCCTAAGGCCTAGTGATCCAGAATGATTTCTAACACGATCAGGGTTTCTTTGGGGGATGATAAAAGTGTTGTGGAATTAGTGCTAATGGCTTCACACACTTTTGAATATACTAAAAACCACTGAATTATACACTTTAAAAGGGTAAATCTATGATATGTAAATTCTGTTTCAGAAAAAGATCTGTTTGAAGCAGAATTCATTACATGAAGTCTATTACTTAAGGACTGTGTCAGCCACCAGAGGAGAGAGGAGAGATGCGTTTCTAAGAGCACTTATCCCACATTTTTTTACCCTTTCAGAGATGCTTCTTGTTCAAGATCACAAACAACTCCAAACATTTAGAATGGAATGAATAGGGCCAAACATGTATTTAACCTCAGCTAAAATATATTAAATATTGGAAATAAAGGGGCATAGGACAATTACTTAGAAGAGATATTAAAGTGAGCAAATAAGATGTGAGGATACAGGAGAAATGATATCATAACTATTCAGTTTGCCTCCTTATCAAGTAGCCCTTCCCAAACCTTATGTCCTCCCTTGGATAATGTTTTCTTCCTGCAAACAGTTTGTGACTAGGATCTATGGATATTCTTTTTCCTAAAGTGGTTTTCCAAGTCCCACATATTAAACTAGAAAATTTTAATAATTTGTGTCCTTCCATTACCCTTTCAGGTGTTACCTCCAAACACAGGCTCTCTTTATATTGACAAGGATTGTTCAGCTGTGTACTGCCATGAATCAAGCAGTAATATATACTACCCTTTTCAAAAGCGTGAACAGCCGAGAGCTGGCAGGTACATCATGAGACATACTTCAGAGGTTATCTGTGAGGTTCTGGATCCTGAGGGAAACACTTTTCAGGTAAAGTGCACTTTTGGTGTGGAGGGAGAGCCTGTGGCTTTGCTTTTGAGATATTTCACACTACAAAGCTTCCATGTAGATTTTTACCTTAGTTGCCTTGGGATTAATTATCCACTTACTGCCAATAATTTGGGCAAGCAGTAATGAATGTCAATACTTTTCCTTTGATTCTTAAGTGTACTTTCATGGGGGATGGCAAGCCAAATAATTGGTGGGACAGAAATGTTAAGGCTAAATGAATAATTAGAACAGAAAGGAAGAAACAGTAGCAGACATCTGAAAATAATGCCAACATAAAGAATGTGGCAATGGTCCTTATCCAAGTAGAAGTCAGAGCAAACACAAGACAGCAAGCAAGTTTCTTTGAGTAGTCACAGAGTCCATGGTAAGAAGGATATAGTACGGTTGAAAGTGGGGAAGTGGACCAACATCCAAGCTGAGTACCAAATCAAGAACACAATCCTGAAGATGGCCGAATAGGAACAGCTCCAGTCTGCAGCACCCAGCATGATCGATGCAGAAGATGGGTGATTTCTGCATTTCCAACTGAAGTACCTGGTTCATCTCACTGAGACTGGTTGGACAGTGGTTGCAGCCCACACAGGGCGAGACGAAGCAGGGCAGGGCATCGCCTCACCCGGGAAGCACGAGGGGTTGAGAGATTTCCCTTTCCTAGCCAAGGGAAGCCTTGACAGACTGTACCTGTAAAAACGGGACACCTTAGCCCAAATATTATGCTTTTGCAATGGTCTTAGCAACCGGCAGACAAGGAGATTCTCTCCCATGCCTGGCTCGGTGGGTCCCATGGCCCACGGAGCCTTGCTCACTGCTAGCACAGCAGCCTGAGATGGAACTGCGAGGCAGCAGCCTGGCTGGGGAAGGGGCATCCGCCATTGCTGAGGCTTGAGTAGGTAAACAAAGCAACCAGGAAGCTTGAACTGGGCAAAGCCCACCGCAGCTCAGCAAGGCCTACTGCCTCTAGACTCCACCTCTATGGGCAGGGCTTAGCTGAACGAAAGGCAGCAGACAACTTCTGCAGACTTAAACATCCCTGTCTGACAGCTCTGAAGAGAGCAGTGGTTCTCCTAACACAGCGTTTGAGCTCTGAGGATGGACAGACTGCCTCCTCAAGTGGGTCCCTAACCCTGTGTAGCCTAACTAGGAGACACCTCCCAACAGGACTGACAGACACCTTATATAGGCAGGTGCCCCTCTGGGATGAAGCTTCCAGAGGAAGGATCAGGCAGCAATGTTTGTGTTCTGCAGCCTCCACTGGTGATACCCAGGCAAACAAGGTCTGGAGTGGACCTCCAGCAAACTCCAACAGACCTGCAGCTGAGGGACCTGACTGTTAGAAGGAAAACTAACAAACAGAAAGGAATAGCATCAGCATCAACAAAAAGGACATCTACACCAAAACCCCATCTGTAGCTCACCAACATCAAAGACCAAAGGTAGATAAAACCACAAAGATGGGGAGAAAACAGAGCAGAAAAGCTGAAAATTCTAAAAATCAGAGTACTTCTTCTCCTCCAAAGGATCACAGCTCCTTGCCAGCAACAGAACAAAGCTGGATGGAGGATGACTTTGATGAGTTGACAGAAGTAGACTTCAGAAGGTCAGTAATAACAAACTTCTCTGAGCTAAAGGAACATGTTTGAACCCATCGCAAGGTACCTGAATACCTTAAAAAAGGTTAGACGAGTGGCTAACTAGAATAAACGGTGGAGAGAAGACATTAAATGACCTCCTGGAGCTGAAAACTATGGCATGAGAATTTCGTGACACATGCACAAGCTTCAATAGCTGATTTGATCAAGTGGAAGAAAGGGTATAAGTGATTGAAAATCAAATTAATGAAATAAAGCAAGAAAAGAAGTTTAGAGAAAAAAGAGTAAAAAGAAGCAAAGCCTCCACAAAATATGGGACTATGTGAAAAGATGAAATCTATGTTTGATTGGTGTACCTGAAAGTGATGGGGAGAATGGAACCAAGTTGGAAAACACTCTTCAGGATATTATCCAGGAAAGACACAAAACAAAGGAAGAGACATTCCTTGCTCTATGGATAGGAAGAATCATATCATGACAAATGGGCAAACTGCCCCAAAGAAATGTTATAGAGTTCAGTGCCGATCCCCATCAAACATCAAATGACTTTCTTTACAGAATAGGCAAAAAACTACTTTAAAGTTCATATGGAACAAAAAAAGAAGCCCACATTGCCAAGACAACATCTAAGCAAAAAGAACAAAGCTGGAGGCATCATGCTGCCTAAACTTCAAACTACACTACAAAGCTACAGTCACGCAAAACAGCATGGATACTGGTAGCCAAAACAGAAGATATAGACCAATTGGGAAACAGAACGGGGTAGGCTCAGAAGTAACACCACACATCGTATAACCATCTGATTCTTTGACAAACCTGACAAAACAAGAAAATGGGGAAAGCGATTCCTTATTAATAACATGGTTGCTGGGAAAACTGGCTAGCCATACATGGTAGCAAGCTGAACTGGATCTCTTCCTTACATTTATACACAAAATTAATTCAAGATGCGATTATTAGACTTAAAGTGTTTAGACCCTAAAACCAAAAAACCTAGAAGAAAACCTAGGCAAACCATTCAGGACATAGGCCATGGGCAAGGGACTTCATGACTAAAAACACCAAAGCAATGGGCAACAAAAGCCAAAATAGACAAGTGGGATCTAGATTAACTAAAGAGCTTCTGCACAGCAAAAGAAACTACTTCAGAGTGAACAAGGCAGACCACAGAGATGGAGAAAATTTTTGCAAATCTACCCACTGAAAGGGCTGAGTATCCATAACTAGCAAGGAACTTAAACAAATTTACAAGAAAAAGAAACCCATCAAAAAGTGGGCAAGGATATGAACAGACCTTCCTCAAAAGAAGACATATATGGCAGCCAATAGAGACACATGAAGAAAATGTCATCATCACTGGTCATTCCAGTAGAAATGCAAATCAAAACCACAGTGGACTCACAATCTCATTG